TGATACAGTCAGTAGGTTTGATTTTCCATAAGATGCTGGCAAACTCCTTACTTCACGTCAACTACTTTATTCGAGCCTACGCATGAAAATCATCACGCGCTAAGTAAAACTTAGTGATGTAGAAATATTGCTAAAACATAAAATCCATAAAATATAAACAATAAACTGGAAATTTAAATAAAAAAATTAAAAACTTCAAACTGAGCTAGTTAGGTCATTTTTTCTTCTGAAATCCTGAAAATTATCATCTCATGATTTTATCAAAAATCATGCAAGTCATCATTAAATATAATAAATAACTTTTGTTCTTTTCATTCGAACATATTTTATAACTTTCTTTTCAATTCTATGTTCTTTTCTTTTATATACTATCATAACTTTCACACTTACTGTTATAGCTCAATGTATATGTAAGAGAATACAAAGTATGTGAATATAAGGTGCGCACTAGGTACAACACGGTTCCGAATCATAACTAAAATTGTAATATGATGAACTTCAGTGCAATCATAATCTGAGCACTTATGGTGCTGAACATTGGTACACGAATGTACCAAAGCTAAATTGATAACCGATGAGCACTCACTTAAGGACATGCTAAATGTACATATGACTCTCAATGCAACATACAATGTGCTTATATTTATCATCATAGAATCATTTATTAATCTACGTGTAATAACTGTAAAACATATGATAACTGTAAACATCTGATAACTGTAAATATTTGATAATTGAAAATCATCTGATAATTATAAACATTTATAATTCATCATCATAAATATCATATTTGGGCAGTTCATACCCAAAAACATTCATAAAACTTGATGAAAAAATATTATAGAAATATTCCATACTGAAAATTTATAAATCATACTGGAAATTAAAACGAGGTTGACTTATCGTAAGTCGTCCTCGATCAGAGTAATTAAATAAATAAACTAGACTCATTTGATCAATTTACTTATAAATCAAATATAAGCCTCATTAAGCTTTAAAAATTGTTTCCACTACACAATTTATTGAAATTTTATATTCTGACAGTTTGTATCACCTTCAAAGAAATATTATCATGTATTAATCTCAAATGATACTTCCACATTTAATAAACTTAAAATCAAGTCCCCATAATATTGAGACTTTTTGAATTCCGATTTTACCAAATTTACAATTTGGTTTCAAACAACTTTCCAACTTAAATTTCCAGATTTTCAACTATCAAAAATCAATATTAACCCTTCAAATATTGCATTTTTGCAATAATATCCCACAATTATCAAAACTTGTATATTAACCTTTTTACTAACTCAAGGATCCAAATTGATCTCCAAGTCACATAAAACACTTCTAATATTGATTCTAGACCACAGAAAATTTTTCAGTATTTTCCCCTAATTTTTTCCCAATGGTCGAATGTCCCTATGATCATAAGACTAGTTTTTCATTCAATTTCAAGGGTGAATTCAACTTTCTTACTTCAAATTTATGTTATTCTAATCAACGCAACATCAAATTGAACCAAAATCCAATCAATCACCAAAACCCTAATTAGGCCAAATGTTTTAAATCATTCTACACTTGATTTTAAACATCATACATGCTTGAAAATTAATCTCCAACATAAAAACATAATAATCTTTCAATAATTCTTCAAACTCCAAAACCCTACATAAACTCTAACCTTCAATCTAAACATATAAGAATCTTCACTATGAAATATTGGAACCAAATGATAGAGAATTTCTTGTAGATTAATTCTCTAATTCATAACCTAGTCCAAAAATCAATCATGTAAGCTTAAAAATCAAAAATAAAATGTTTACCTTGGAGAAATGGTGGTTTTGACCAAGCTTGAAGAAGGAGCTGATTTTGTGCTAATTTTATTGATTAATCTAGTATTTATTAACCTTGACACATGACACTTTAATAATATAATTGAATTTAAAATTTAATTAATGAGAAATCCCAAAAACACCATTAATGAAACTTGATAATTACCAAATTTCATTGCATTATCTTCTATTAAAATATTCCTTAGTCAAAGATGAATCAACTTGACTTTTATTTTTCGCTTTGGCCACATAATTTTTGAAAATTGTACTTTTGTCACTAAAATTCCACTGTTCGACCAAATCTGAAAAATTACATTGTTCTGAGCCAAATTTCTTTGATCTAAAATATCGAAATAATATTTCCAACAATTTTATAACATCCTTCAATTTTTTCATAAAATTCTGGTTCGATCCGATTATCAGATTTCAATACCAAACTTTATCGCTTTATAGCTTTTAACACAAATCTCGTACAAAAAATATGATTCCCACAAAAATCCTTGTTTTTTCCAAACCTTTCATTTACGGGCGAAGATCTATAACTTATCAAAATTATATTTTTAGTCCCTAAACTTTTACAAAGTCTATACTTTAGCCCTCAAACTTTCAAAACTTACATTTTAGTCAGTAGTAAAAAATTTGGGGTATTACATAATCGGCTACAACTACGGTGGCATATAACTAGGATGATGGCAAGGACTACGTAAGCGACGGTGGTCGTGGCCGGAGAAGGCGGCGACGGCGGATTAATGTTAGGATTTGAGATTTTGGGGTTGTTTTATAATATAAGAAAAGTTGGGTTATTTTATAAATATGATAATATTTTTAATATTTTTAGAAAAAACAAATTTCAAAATTACCGGGCTGTGACACATGTCACTTAATAGGAAGAACTACTAGTGTTAATGGCCCGAGCACCGAAAGTGCTAACGTTTGTAACGTTAGGCACCCGGATGGACAAAAAAATATAGACACTTATTTAACACAAAAGATATAATTTAGGCACTTATTTGTACATTAAACCTTACATATACATTAAAAGTTCTTCAAACGAAGATGACGTAGTGAGCCAAAAAAAAACAATTTAGTGCAAGTTATCATTCAAAGGTCTCATGTATTTTTTCATAACCATTAAAACCAATTTGAAAGTTAAAGGGTTAAATATAACGTCGGTTTCAGTTTGGTATCTAATATTTTTTATTTTAATTTGGTGTCTAACGTTTTTTATTTTAATTTGGTGTCTAATGTTTTATTTTATAACTCAATTTGGGTCAGACCGTGACAGACTATTAATTTCGGCTGTTAAATGTCACCTGATATTTTTTAATATTTAAAAATGATTTTTGAAAATAAAAAATTAATTAAAATAAAAATTTATTTATTTCTTTCTCTCTCTTCCTCTTTCTCTTCCCCTTCCTCTTTCCTTCTCTTCCTCTTTCTCTCTCTTCACCGAAGGCAACAAATTCCATTTCCCTCTCTTCCTGAAACCAATTCAAGTGGGTAAAGATTTCACAGACAAAATCTCATTTCATCACCAACCAAAACACATCAAAAAGCCAAATATATATATAGAAAAAAGAACCCCATCAAACGGTCTCTAGAATTGAGTATGTTTTAAATTGTTTTAGTTTGATGGTTTATGTCAAAATCTCAAAAGCCTAATTCTTTTGTACAAACATAATTGAAAGGAAATGAAAAACAAAATTCAAATTAAAATGTCAACAGTCCAGTTTTCTTTCACAAAACCACCAACCCATTCATTAAATATTCAAGCTCAAATCAACAAATCCAACTAGCTACATCATGCCTAAACCAAAAATATCTCTAAGCCCAATAAAACAAGCCTAATACATCAACCCGAAACCTTAATTACTTGGGAACCCTAACCCTAATCACCCTTTCACAACATCTGCAAACAAGAAGCCGCCAATCATAACCCTTGACCATTCAGATCCCAACTCGCGTGAGATACAAAGACACACGCTTAGGTGGTCCCTTTTTCTCATGCAACCACATCAAAAACCACCTCAACAGGAGGTTCAATCTGCGGTTGTAAATTCCAATTTCTTGATTTATACTTTAAATTTCATTTCAATCACTTTTGTTTAGGTTTGGGGAAGATGAGAAGATGAGAGGGAAGATGGAAGGTAAAAATCATTTTTTGTTTTGGTTTGGGGAAGATGAAACGATGAGAAGGAAGAGAAGAAACAGAGGGAAGATGAGAGGGAAAATTACTTTTTAATATTAAAAACATGTCACATGACATTTTAAATGGGTTAACGGCTGAAATTAATGGTTCGTCAAAGTCTGATTCAAACTGAGTTACGACATGAAACATTAGACACTAAATTAAAAAAAAACGTTAGACATCAAACTGAAACAAAAAACATACGTTAGACACCTTTTTCATATTTAAGCCAAAATGAAAAAGACGTATCAGAGCTCCATCTGAGATTAGAACTTTGTTGCTTTGAATTTTGGATTCCTTAACTCGTATAAAGAACTTGATCCAGAAATATGATCCATTAATGCATCTTCAACCAGATAAGGCATTAACCAGACTCATGAAATATTATGCACTACTTAGAATATAGAGAAAAAAATCATCTTAACCTAATGCAAATACAATTGGATTGTTTAATGGTAACAACAATCGAAAAAATATCGGACGGTGACGATACCATTAATTCAAGCACTATTCAATAAGGAAAAGGATAAATAGTGCTGAAATAGACTTTAACATATCAGGTCAGTTTTTCTTAACGAAAATTGACTATAGTGACCATGATAAAAACGATTTAAAACTTAAATGATGGTATTGCAAGTTTTAAAAGTTTTATGACTAAAATGTAAATATTCTAAAAGTATAATGACTACTATTATAGTTTACCCTAAAAAATTCTAAACGAGTGAGGGTGAACAGAGCAATCCCTGCACCGGGCCGTCAATCATTGCAGATATTCTTAGAAGTAGCGTATTCAATGTCCTCTCCTTTCCAAGCAATTTCCAACACTGGTCAACTCCATTTTCTTCAGAAAATAATTTTTATAATTCCATTTCCTTTTCCAGCTTGAATGAAGTATTCAAAGGAAGTTCAACCGGTTTTTTCCTTCCAAAAGTTGAAGTAATTTTTTTTATTTTTTATTTTTGGTTTTCCCAAGTCCTACCATGGCTGATGCGCTTGTTTCTGCAATCTCACAACGCTTAACATCCATCCTTTTTCAAGAAGCTGAAGCTGGGTTGAGACTTCTTACGGGCGTCAACCAAGAAGAACTCAGAAAGCTTGACAACACTTTTCAAACTATCCGAGCTGTCCTCGTAGATGCAGAAAAAAGACAGCTCAAGGAGCAAGCCATTAAGGTCTGGCTGGACAAGGTTCAAGATGTGTCTTATGATATCGAGGATGTGTTGGACGAGTGGAAGATTGTAGCTCTCAAACTGCAAATCGCGAGGGATTCACGCCCTTCGACTTCCATCGTTCCGAGAAAGGTACGCTCATGGATTCACTCCCCGAGCTATTTCGTTAGTCGAGTCATTCACCGTTATGATATTGCTGTTAAGATTAAGAAGCTAAACCAAAGGCTTCAAGTGATTGCCAAAGAGAAAGATGATTATTCCTTTACAGTTGATCTGAACGGGAAGACTGATCTTGAACCTGAGCGACCAATAACAACATCCTTCATCAATCCATCCGACATTCATGGTCGTGACGGAGATAAAAACATGTTGCTAAACATGTTACTCGACAAGAACAACGGCGAAGAGAAGGGCGTCCCTGTAATCTCTGTAGTGGGAATGGGAGGGATAGGGAAAACAACATTAGCCCAAATGGTGTACAACCATGATAAGGTGAAGGCTTACTTTGATAAGAGAATATGGATATGTGCTTCAAATCCTTTTGATGAAATGAGGACTGCAAAAGCCATTCTTGAAGGTCTAACAGGAGTTGTTTCGAATTTCACCGAGTTGAATACCTTACTGGAGCAGATCCACGAGTCTATTAAATTTAAGGCAGAGAGGTTCCTTCTTGTTCTAGATGATGTGTGGGGTGAAGATGATAGGAAGTGGCAATCATTGAAATGCTCTCTTGATTGTGGTTCCCAGGATAGCAAAATTTTGTTGACCACTCGGAAGGAGAATGTAGCCGTGATCATGGGTTCTAGCCACTTGTTTCGTTTGGGGAAGTTATCGAGAGAGGAGTGTTGGTCCCTGTTCAGCCGCCTGGCGTTTTTCGGAAGGAAAGACAAGGAGCGCGAGTGTTTAGAAGACATTGGTAAGAAAATTTCAGATAAGTGTCAAGGCTTGCCACTTGCTGCAAAAACACTAGGAGGTCTCTTGCGTTTTAAGCGATCTCGAGAACAATGGCGAAGAATCTTGGACAGTCAGATATGGGAACTTGAGGAGGCTGAAAATGGTCTTTTTTCTCCCTTACTCTTGAGTTACTATGGTTTGCCATTGCCATTGAGGCGCTGCTTCTCATACTGTTCCATTTTCCCGAAAGATTGTAAAATCGAGAAAGATTTCTTGATCAAGTCATGGATGGCTGAAGGCCTTCTCGGAGAGATGCAGCATAAAGATGCGGAGATCATTGGTGAAGAGTACTTTGATAACTTGGTGGTGCATTCTTTCTTTCAAGAGTTCGAAAAGGATGAAAATGACAACAGCATCATCAGCTGCAAAATGCATGAGATAGTGCATGATTTCGGTCGATACTTGCGAAGAACAATGAGTCTTATGGTGGCCAGTAGCAATGTTGAAGAGTTCAATATGGCCTCTAAGGAAAATGCTCGTCATCTAACACTGATTCACGATGAAGCTGCTGCAATTCCTGCTCCCGTTTTCAATGTAAAAAAGTTGCGTAGCTTGCATCTGAACTTGAATGATACTTCAACTATTGGTGCATCATTGGCTAAACTGTTGGATCGAATGACTTGTCTGAGGATACTAAGCTTCAAAGACATGAATTGTGGATACAAATGTTCAATCAAAGCAATTCCGAAGGAAATAGGAAACTTGCTGCACTTGAGATATCTTAACTTGGAAGGGAACACTGATTTAGAAAAATTGCCAGAGACAGTGTGTGACTTGTGTAACTTGCAAACTCTGAACATCAGATCTTGTAAAAATCTTATGAAATTGCCTCATGGTATCGGGAAGCTGATCAACTTGAGACATCTCCAAAATGCAGGTACAGATAGATGCAGATTCATGCCAAAAGGACTACAACGATTAACGTCTCTACGGACACTAGATGAGTTTGTCGTGAGTCGTGGTGATGTTGAGAGTAAATCATGTAGCCTTAGTGATTTGGGGAACTTAATCCATCTACGAGGAGATCTCGAGATCAGAGGATTGGGAAATGTGGCAGACCTGTGTGTGGCGAAGAAAGCACAGCTTTGGACAAAGCACGAACTCCGTGGGTTGCGTCTAAAATTCGATCCCCAAGAGATACAACAGGTCAAACTTGAGGACGAAAAGTATGTATTTGAAGCATTGCAACCACCTTCACACCTAGAAAGCTTGAGCATACTCCACTGCAGAGGTCCCCTTTCTTTCCCTGATACGACGACATCATTGTGTATGCTGAAGAGAGTTCGACTGCAGAATTGTCTCAACTGGGAAAGATTGCCTCCATTGGGGAAGTTGCAGTCCCTTGAATCTTTAGAGATGGAGTTTATGAATAAGGTTAAAAAAGTGGGAGATGAATTTTTGGGAACATCTTGTTTGTCACCCTCATCATCTACCAACAAAAAGATCGTCTTCCCTGCATTGAAGAAACTCAAATTCCATTACATGAAAGAATGGGAAAAGTGGGAATATGGTTGGAGAAGTGGAGAAGATGACTGTTACAATCATGCCTCAACTTCATTCATTAACAATAAATTATTGCATTGAGTTGAAGGCATTGCCGAGCCACCTTCTTCGTAATACGACGCTGCAAGAGCTGCATATCAAAGGTTGCCCCGTTCTAGGAGAACGTTTTGAGAAGGGGAGAGGGGTGGATTGGACTTCCATCTCCCACATTTCTGCAATCCAAATTGATGATGAATTGGGGGTTATTGATGATGAAGAATTGGTGCTCTGATAAGTTTTGCCTGCAATTTCTGCTCATATATTTCCAAAGCCTCAAACGTACAATACATTCAGCCATGTCTGTGTATATAATTTCTAATCTTTTCTTTAGATCATGGATGGAGAATTAATACAAAATCTGCTAGTCTCTTCTAGATTGATTATGTTCTTTTTCACGTGAACTTGCGATCATAGTCATAACATCAAAATTTTCCTCTAAACTTACAATATAGAAAATATCTTCGGCTATAGACTTATAACATATCTCAAACATCCCATGTAACACCCTAAACCCGATTGGGTCTAAAGTGCCACACTAGGCCACCGGGGCAACCCTTGATTTTCAAAACATGTTCATTTTATTTTCAAACGCACTAAATTGTGTCATAAATAAAACATAAATAACTATTATAAAACATTTTACAAAACTGGAGCTCAGTGACATTTAATTTAAACCAAAATAATACAAACACTGAGTTTAATACACCAAAGATATGAGTAAGGTCCTATGAATACATATGCCCACTAAAGCTACAATACATATTCTGTCGGAGATGCTAGAAGTCCTGCAGCGACAGTGCTCCATGAACATCCCAAGCTACTGACCTGCCAACAAAAAACATCCGAAGGCTGAACTTACAAAGCCCAACAAAATAATCGCTAATCTAGAGCATCATAAGAATTCATAAACATAAGCATACTGAAGACATGATAATAAGAAGTAGGTGCATACACGACCTAGATGAAGTGCTACCTACTTAAGACTTTACTGCTCTAACTCGGATGTAGGTCTCTCACGTTTCCCTTAGTCCTCCACTAAGAGCATCACCATGACTACACCTCTAAAGGATCTCTAATCCTAATGACTGAACAAGCTACACATTATTTGAATGCGAACCTGACATACAGTGCATTACCTGAAAGCAATCCTGACATGTTGTGCATTAACTAAATACACCCTGACTAGTATATGGTCTCACATAGCTCTCAGACACTAGTCATTGAGTGAACCGCGGTGTCACTTAGCATCGACGTAATTCCCACAAACATACTCAATGATCTCCTGGTCCTCACATAGCCATCAGGTAGATCACTAATGAGTGTTTGAGATTGACACCTTTTGCTTACTAATTATCTTGTCTTATGAATTTTTCATTGTTTACTTGGATGTTTTGCGTTTATTTTCTGTGCAGTGACTTGTTTGCTGGAATTGGTAGCAAAAGGGTGCAAATTTTTATTATTTTCTGATCGTGGCTGAGAGCATGAGCATGACGCTGGGCATGAGGCGAGGCTGACATGACATAATTACAGAAGATACTGGAAGGTTCTGGAAGCATATCCAGTCAGCACGATTCTGGATAGAGATTTTAGGATTTCAATTTCTTGGTTTAAAATTTGAAACATTTGAATTATCATTCAGATTATCTTGAATTCTATTTTGTTATCTTTAGATTTAAGAAGCCTATAAATACCCTTCATGGGTAAGGCTTGAACACATGTTGTTTTTACTTCATATATTTTTCGACTTATTTATTTTAATTAAAGTTCCATTTTCTTTTCACTTTCTTTCATTTCCAAGTTATTTTATTTTACAAATCTATGCTAAGTATGATGGTCAATATCATGCTTAGCTAATTTCCTCGTGCCAAGAGCTAGTAATGAATCGATTCTATTTGTGAGAATCAAACAAAAAAGCTTAAATCCCTTAAATCCCTTCGGGATGCATTCTCATTTTTCTGGATAAAAGAGCTTGGCAATCGGCCTTGCTCATATTTTTTAAACATTTTTAATCAAAAAGTCGACGTTGGTCTAAACGTTGTTTGAAAGTACCGTTGGGAGGAAGGATCGGCCTATGGCATTTCGACTTCCTGTGAACACACTTAGCGGTAGTCCGTTAAGGGAAAACTAGATCGGAATCGATTCTCAACGAGACAATATCCGAGTTGGGCCTTTCTAATTTTCAATCTGAATGTTTTAATGACGATAGATGTGGTTAATCCACTTAAGAATCATCTTTCAAAGATAGACTTGGGAAGATCGATTACACAAGAGAAGTGCAAGTTACAATAGGTTGTGCCTTGTAGATTGTAACCGACATGAATCACGAAGCAAAAATACGTTTCTATGATCGAAGGAATCGAAACAAAGCTAGCTCGAGGCAGTTTCTCTCATATTAATTTTCCCAAATTATTTATTGTTTTCTTCTAGTTCATTACTTTGTTCAATTATTTATTTTGATTTTTTACTTAGTCTTCATCTTAAATTTACCTATCAACCCCATTTCCCCTTATTTTGTTTTATTACAACTTCCTGGACGAAATCAACATAAATCGCATCAAAGATTCCAATATTTCCATGTGGATCGACCCTCTTCCACTATTCTACTTTCCATTTATTTTTTTCCGAAGAGATTTAATTTATTTTGACGAGTAAAACGATGCTTGTCAATCACTGAAGGAAACTCGGTGTCACATAGCATCGACACAATTCCCACACAAACTGAAGCATTGGCTTGGTCTCACATAGCCTTCAAGCAAAGCTTATCATATCAAACATACGGAACTGATGAGACTATACATGCATAACTAACACAATAGATATGGGTAGGTCTGGAAATGGGGTCAGAGGAATTTACATACATCTCGGATTAACACTACCAACCTACATTGCATACGGAAATATTCTAGGGGTAAGAACCGGAATTTACGTGCATTGGATGCTTACCCAACTGAACTGACATAACTAATCATGTAGATCTAAGGCCCATAGGCCACATAATACTGACACCGCTAGCTCACTCCTAGTGAATGTTCGGGTTTTGCACCTTAGTTAGCCCTTGAAGTGCCTCATGCACTGACAATGCCCTATTAGGGCAACTAAGCAACATGGGTGTTCCTTAACATAGTTGGACTCACTAAAGTGAAGTTAACGTCATACTGACTGTTACCTCCCTCGTTCTCTCATCTATAATGTTAGGCGAAGGCTTACTTATTATATGAGGAATTGGCTACCAATACCTAGCTTGGGTTCGTTTCTGAGTAGTGCCATTCTAATCAATCTTATCATACTTTTTTCATAACTTCTTGAACTGAAAAGGACGACTTACTTTTCCTGGGTTCACCGACATTCTCAAAGCTCATATTTTTTACGACCACTGAATCAACATAATCATCGTACTGCTTATCAGATGTCCCTTATAATGATCCTCTGTCTTGACTATTTGTATTCATCCTCGTTCAAAGATACCTTGACGTATTATGCTTAATGTTGTTACACCGGATGTAACATGCTCTTACAGGTGTTTCTAGGTATCATTGGTCGTTTATATGCCTCACGGACTAAATCTTGCTATTACAGATCATCCTTAGCTCTTACGAACCTTAAGCGAGTCAAATATGACTTTCCAAAGTGACTAGTATCGATACTCTACTTGTAGTATCGATACACTAGGGTCAAGTATTGATACCCTATGAGTATTGTAACATCCTCAATACCGGGTTAGTGACCAAATTATAAAGTTTCAGAAATTGGTGATTAAAGTAGGATAATTAAATAGTTCAATGACTTATTGGAAATATGATGAAGGTTATTCAGTAATTATTAAAGGAAATAAAGGGTAAATTGGTCATTTGACCAGAAAGATTTTTTATCTTTCTTTTAGGGTTATAAAACACGTGGGAAATGAGAGAATTATCCAGAGTCTTCTTCTCCAGCTTCTTCTTCTCCCCGTAAGCCTCATTTAAAGGTGAGTTTAATTTCAGCTGTTTAATTCTTGGATTTATAAGTTGATTTTGATTCTTGGAGTATTATATAAGCTTAAGGAAAGCTTATATAATCTTTAAACATCAAGAATAGAGAATTAGAAAGGAAATGATATGAAGGGTGTAGAAATGAAATTTTGTTATAGAAAGGTTTTTGTAGTTATAAAGATGGATTTGACTTGTCAAGGGTATAATTAAGAAGCTAGAAGCAATAGAATTGAATTTGGAACATGTTGAAAATTTAGTGTAATTCTTGAATTACATATGGAGAATAGGATTTTGATGTTAAAGAGGTGATTAATGAATATGAATGAGTTTGAATATGAGTATGTAAGTTAAAAATAAGAAAGGGGATGATATATGAAGTATTAAGCTGAAAAGAGTGGATTTTCGGGCATAAAAGAGGATTCTGGGCAGAGTGCATCGATGCACATTCATAGTGCATCGATGCATCAAGGTTAAAACCCAAAAATTACTTGAAGGTGTATCGATGCATTGGTAATGCATCGATGCACTCTTTTAAAATAGAAACATCGAATACAATTAGTGCATCGATGCATAAGGCATGCATCGATGCATCCCAGTAATAATACAACATCGAATGCATTTTATGCACCGATGCATCAGTAGTGCATCGATGCATACCTTCATTAAAAGATGAAATTGGCTTTTCTCTGAGCCTAAGGAGTTATAGTTTCGAATATATCAATCAGTATACTGATAAGTATTAATGTATTATTATGTAGATATAGAATGAAAGCTTGTTCCGGAACAAACTAAGGATTAGGATTGATTCAAAACAACGATGCCTAGGTGAGTGCATCTTATTGTATAAGATTATATGGAAATTGGACTTGTGATAAGTTTATTCTTATAGTAATAGCTCATTAAGTCTTGATTATAAGTATGTTAACGATATGAAGTGTATGTATGTTTGATTATATGAATTGATATGTTTTGTTTGGTATGTGCTATGTGATTTATGAAAAAAATACGGTTAAGTGTTAATGAGAGAATATAAAATAAGTTATGAAATTATATGAATATATAAGATAAGTCAAGAGATGTAGGGAAATGGAAATAGATGTTTAGAAAGAGTCATAGGAGAACAAATATAAGTAATATGATAATGAAATATAAGACTATGTGAATACATGGTTATGAGATAAAAGATGTAAGAATAGGAAAATATGATGAGAGTGAGTTCATGAGAAGTGATATGAACTAGGTAAACATGAGTTGG